TTTTTTTTTTTTTTTTTTTTTGTATTTTGTATAACTATTGTAATTTATATTAATATAAAGTAAAAATATAAAGAATACAATGTAGATAGAAAAAAAAAATTGCACTTATAAATTGCAAGTTCTACATTTATTTCAAAATTCAAATTTACAAATTGAAAGGTTTACATTTTAACAACAAGTAAATTAACGAAAAAAGAATAAATTCAAAGGTTTTGCATTGCCTTAGACTCTAAAACCTTAAAAAATAAATAAAATAAAAATGAAATATAGCTTTTAAACCGGGCCGGGCCGGTTAACCGGTTCAACAGTAATTTACGTTGACCGATCCAGTTAACCGGTTGACAAAATGTGAACGGACCAAATCCCCAACCCCTTTAATCCAGCCCCACCCGGTCCTCTTGTACCGGTCCGGACCGATTTCGATTTTAACCGGTTTGGACCGGTCCGGAAACGGGCTGACCTGGCCCGTTAGACACCCATATTTTATCCTCTCAAATTAGCAGTTGCAATGAAACGGCTCATAATACTGTCGCATTAACCAGCCGTTGGATCGGAATCCTTTAAACAAACCCTACTCAGGTTAAATCATCACCATGGTTAGCTTGGGTAGATCGGCAAAGAATTTGCTAACTACATGCTTATACTTTATATTATTTACACGGATACCCTTCTCCTTCTCCTTGCTATAAATTTAGGCTTTGAGACACGCTAGGTTTGCCAAACTGAAGAGCCTAAGGGCCCTTTAGAAGAAATCTATAGAAACAAAATTTGTTTATTATAGATTTCTTTTACCAGCTTCCTTTTTCTCTTTTTCTTCTTCCAAAAAATTATAGTCAAAAAAAATCTTACTGTCTTCAATGGCGACATCTTCTAGAAGATCAAGCGGACCGGTTTTGCCGATTAGATCGGCCTTCCAGAGGTCTATCTCACCGACTGGCCGGTTCTGCAACTCAACGACAGTGACTGATACGTCAACGTTTTCGTCATTTGCTTCTTCGACGAGTTCTAGCTTTTGCTCGTCTAGTTCCACAGGTATTTTCCATCGATCGGCGTCTCCGACGCGCGTGAACCTTCACGGTTTTGCTCCACTGGCTCCTACGCCTTCTGTTAAATTTTCGATCGACAGATCTATATCTCCTCATCGTTCGATGGCGGTTTCTTCCCGAGATCAAGTAGTTCGANAAGTGGTTCGTAAGCAGAACAATAATCCGCTGACAAAACTTCCAAAAAGGACGTGTATGTGCTCTCCTACAACGCATCCTGGCTCGTTCCGGTGTAGTTTGCACAAGAATATGAATACTGCTCCGTCGATGTATTCGCCTAGCCGATTGAATGCTCGGCGATCGGCGATGACGAACTCTTTGGTCCGTATTGGTACTGTTGAAGGAGATCTAGTGAAGCGTGCTTTAGCAGCTCTTATACGGCCTTCG